TTTCTCTTATATGCATGATTTATAAAAAGAAAAACTCAATTTTAAAACTTTTGTTTAGGAAGTTCAAAATTTTTATTTTTCTTCGATCATGATGCACCAAAACCTTGAAGTATTTTTTCACGTAAACGTGTACGCCTGTGCTCCAGCCCGGGCCGACGCTCATATATCTTCGTGTGTGCGCGCGAAATCGCCAACCTTTTCTATTGCCTAGAGAGCTTCCCCGCTATTTTCTTGCACATGAACATGTCATCAATGTTGTCAAGAGATCAAACTTTTGGGTAGAGATTGGTTGACAACACGTTGTCAGTGAATGAGATGACAGCAGGAAAAGCGTCATGAACGTTGAGAGAAGGTCGCGCGTGGTTTCTTAAGATAGGAAATGATGGTTAAAAAAAGGCTATGGACGCAGGCAATGCTTTACAATTTTAAATCCAGTCCCCTCTCGTATAATTAAATTTGAATTTAATTACCCATAACTCAGTCCTCTCTCACGCACGCAAAGGTTTTTATTTTCATGGAGAGACCCTCGATCCTTCATAATGTGCAAGTGGTATTCTTTTTCCATCATAATCTGGATGGAAAATTGGCGCTTATGTTAATGAGAATTACCAGGTGAATATTCCCTCTCTAGTGCAGTATCCTCAGGGAAGAAGATCTTTTGCTTTTCAGCAGAGAGGCATGGGGGAAGATGCTTCTTTTAAACCTAAATTTGATGCAGATTCTACCACTGATTGGTTCGCCCCGTATATAAAAGGTGTAAAGGTCTTCTCTAACAGATTCACTAATGGCTTCATAATTAATAGCTAGAATAAGAGATTCACAAGACCACTCAGAACCAGACTCAGTTCCTTCTCCGCTTTTTTCCTGTGTCAACTCAGTCATAGGTGTTGGAGAAATAAGAGGTAGGGCATGTTAGGTTGGTTGCCATTAATGTGCAACAACCATTTGCTATTGCACCAACCATGTCCACTCATCCAAGATGTCAAAGGTTGGCAGCCACCATTGTTGAAGAAGAGGTATTCAAAACCCACCATAAGTGGTTTCTCCCACCAACAGATCCTTCATAATGTGCAAGTGGTATTCTTTTTCCATCATAATCTGGATGGAAAATTGGCGCTTATGTTAATGAGAATTACCAGGTGAATATTCCCTCTCTAGTGCAGTATCCTCAGGGAAGAAGATCTTTTGCTTTTCAGCAGAGAGGCATGGGGGAAGATGCTTCTTTTAAACCTAAATTTGATGCAGATTCTACCACTGATTGGTTCGCCCCGTATATAAAAGGTGTAAAGGTCTTCTCTAACAGATTCACTAATGGCTTCATAATTAATAGCTAGAATAAGAGATTCACAAGACAACTCAGAACCAGACTCAGTTCCTTCTCCACTTTTTTCCTCTGTCAACTGAGTCATTTGTGTTGGAAAAATAAGAGGTAGGGCAGAGCCTGATTCCCCAACTACCGACTTCAGATTCTTCAACAACCACGTGAACACAAACATTAGAGCAGCAAAAGTAGCACCAGAAGACTCCACTGTTTCCAATGAAAGTGAACTACCATGCAATGACGTAGTCTCCCGAAATTGTACACGTGTCTCTTTTTCCTGGAGCTTGTGGCTATTTTCACTTGCCTTATCCACTGATTATCTGCTTTCTGCTTGAGGGGCTTCTTTATGAAGATCTCCAAAATGTATAAAATTGGCTTCCAATCATCTGGTTCACTATGTTTCTTCCTAGTTGAGATAGTGCAAGACCTGGAGATCCTAACTCCTACATCATGGCAAGATATTAGAATTAATTTATTTTTCCAATTAAAACTCAACTAAATTGCAAATTAATTTAACTCAAAAAAGCTAAATTTGGCAAGTAGTAGAATAAAGTAAAATTAAATTAAAATTAAACTCATTCCATTTCTTAAATTCACGAGAAGCCATAAAACAATTCTTCCTAAAAAACATAGCTTTACGAACTAAAATTCTTTTTAATTTTGATTTTTTAGTAGTAGTAGTATTAATAACAATAATAATAATAATTTTTATTAAACATTATTTAGCCCAATAAATCAGCTTAGCAACTCAACAACCATATTCAAGTTAAGTTTCAAAATAAACCGACTAAAAATTAATTTTATCAAACTTGATGGGTCAACTCGTGACTCGATCAAACTAGTTAACATCATGTTTAGTTAAAAAAAAATCTTCATTTTAACTTCTTTAAAAAAAAAATTAAAACAAGTAGTTTTAGATTTATCACTTCAGGTCAAAACCTGATCCAAACCCCAATTTAATAATAATAATAAACTCTCAATTTTAATTTAACTCATGGAAACTCTAATTTCTCTTGTTGTTCATGCCTATAATGATTTTATATAAACAATTAAACGAATTCAAAAAAAAAATCCACCAAAAAGGCAACTTGAGCAAGTTACATAAAGGAAAATTAAATTAACTATTCCATATCTTTCTTCTAAACTCCTAAAAATAGATAGTAAATCATTAAATTTCGAAATTCAATAAAACAACAGATGCAGAGAGAGACTCTGGATTTTGAGATTTACCTGGCTAGAGCTAGAGGTACTCTCCTTTTGCTCTTCTTGATCGATGTTATTATTTATGTAGTGATAAAAGTAGGCAAGAGAGAATGCAGTGACAGCAACAACGACAGAACCGAATTTTCATCTAAAGACGCCTTGGCTCATTAAGAACCTCTGATTCCTATCTCTTTGAACACGTGATTTCCTTCCACGATATCGAAATAGTCGACCACCGCGTACCACCGGGAGGTCTCATCAGATCGTGGCCAAAGAAACCAAGAAATTGACGATGACCTCTTTTGATATATGTAGGTTAGTGTGGAGATATGAGCTAGGGTTAGGGTTTGTGATTTTGCAAGCTCCATTCAATATTTTATCAGCGAGAACGGGAGGGAAGTGTTATTATTTCGAGAAACGATGATGGTGGTGCCCCGACTTTTGGAAATTGTTGCTTACGTGGAATGATGGCACTGAATTTTTCAACGGGCTTTAATCTTTTTATTTTGGGCCCACTTTTCAAGTTTTAGACTCGGAGGAGCTTCCGGCTTTTGTGCCAATTCGTTGTAAATGTTATATTTTAAAATATTTAATATATTAAATTAATATTTTTTAATTTTAAAAATTTATTTTGATATTAACATATCAAAATATTTTAGAAATATCTAAAAAATAATTTAACTAAAATAATTGAAATTTTTAACAAATAATAATTTAATCTCAATTTCAATCATGTACTTTGTATATTGACTAATTAAAAAAAATTTTTGAAAAAACATCGAGAATAGAAAATTGAAGTATATAATAAGCAAATTGCTCTTCTCTTCCTGTTCTTTGATCTAATTCAAGTGAAGTGTTGGTTCGTTTTTTTTCTTCTGGTTATTTATGATACAATTTATAGTTCATTTAGTTCAAATTTTGTCGTTAATTTTACCGTAATTAATATCTTAAATTTAATAATGTGTGGGATTTAATAACATTTATGTATATTGGCATATGTATATATTGATTTAATTCAGCTTTCTTTTAAGAAAATCAAGCTTCGGCACAGAACATAATAATTATAGCAGTCAATGATGGCGATATTGATGTTATAGACTTGTAGTATAATTATAATCGAAAAAATGAGGTGGTAATAAGATAATAACATGAAGGTGGAATGAGCAATGATATGATAACGGTACATTTACATTTAAATTAAAAAATAATATTTATATAATTCAAATTATAGTATTGATAGAATATAATTCCTTATATTTTTATTTTTTTAATAATTAGAATTCCTTTTATTTCAAAACATGAAAAAATAAAAACCTGCAACAGCGGGGAAATTATCCTTTTGGGCCTAATTTTCAAGCAAACCAGCCCATGGCAAAGTCTAACTACAAAAAAATCTGGAAACTTCGTGCCGTGTTTATTTAACAAACTCCCAAGCCGTGGCTAACTACTGTAAATCTAAATTCAAACTAAAAAAATGTTTTATACCCAACTGGATTAGGATTGGGTTTGGGTTTGGGTTTAGGTTTGGCTGATAACAACAGGATTATAGGTCAATTTAGACAAGATTGTTAAGGTTTGGTTGAGTAAATGTGAAAATCAATTTAAATTAAAATTTAATTGAAACTATGGCGAAAACTACTCCTACCACTACAACTTCTCTTTAACTTTTTTGGTTTTCCCCGTTAATTCAACTCCTCGACTTCGATGATCATTAAACGAGGTAACAAGCAATTTAATCTTTAGTCGTACGATAATGTTCATTTCTTATTTTTGGCTACATTTTCATTTTAGAAAGTTCCCAAAGAAATCTTAAATTGGAACATTCCATGTTAAAATATTTTTTTGTTTCATGTTGATTATACAAGAAGCAGCAGAAGAAGAAGCAGCAGCAGCAGCATGATGAATTGCCTTCTGGATCTTATGAGATTATTAGTACATTAGTGAATCATATGCTTTAGGATGATAGAATAGAGATGGTCACGTAAAAACTATAGAATTGTATATAAAACAAGCAAAAAGACTTGTATTAGACAAACCTCGTTTAAAGTTTTTTTTTTTTTTTTTTTTTGCTAATCATGTAATTTTCCTGTGGCTGTTGCATTATTTTTGTTTTGGCCATTATTAATATTTTAGGTCTTTATGAGTTTTTAAGTTTTTGGTCGAATCCATGTTGTATTTTTAATTTTTAGGCTTTGAAATTCAAGGGAAAATTTTTTCTATGTTCTTGATCAAGAACATGGAAAAGCAAAGCAGTTTTTGTACTGTATTTGATGTGCAACGCAACTTTGACCATTATTCTATCTAGGGGCGGAATTAAAGGGTGGCAAGCAGAGCCCGAGTCTGCAAAATATTTTAATTTTTTTTTTATTTAATATTTTTAATTTAAATAAATACACTTTTTAATAATATATATATTATTATATTAATTTTGGCCTCCCCTGTAAAATGAATCTAGCTCCCCCCTGATACTGTCTGAAGATTTTTTTTAATGGTGGCGAGGTATTTCTTCTCTTTATCTACTGATTTTATTTATATTTTTTTCATGCTTTGGATTTCAGATTGGATTGTGTGACAAAGTCGATACGATTGCATGGTAAGCAAACAGGATGATTGGAACATTTCTATGATTTTTGGTTATGCCTACCCGGCTTGTGGGTGTTCTAAAGTAGCGGGGAAGAGAAGGATAGACATTGAGCAACTCCTGTTTCGATGCATGCCGGTACTGGTATGCATTTTCACACTTCATTGGAAAAATTCTAATGTTTTTAAGAAATTAATTACAGTTCTCGTATGGTTCTTGCAAATTTCTGTAGGATTCTAGTTGCAATGCTTGCAGTTCGTGAGAGAGTAGGAGTCATCTAATCTCTTGGTATGATATCTTGAAACTTAGCTTACGGTTTTTTGTAATAAGTTTTATGCTGTTCTGTTATGTCTATGATTTTGTTTTTGGTTTTTGTCCTGTTTTGGAAGGCTAACTATGTACAGTGAAGCAAAGCTGGCACTCTTGATATATCTTTGGCATCCGAAAACGAAAGTATGTAGAGTCATCCTAAATCTGTAAAGCAGCATCATCCGGTCGGTTATCTATCTTTCAATTAGTTATCCCGATCGACTGGCTTCTTGTTTTGACTGCTTCAAGGCACATTATATGTTTATGACTGTTTTTTCCGGTTTTCTGTGGCAAAACATGAGACCGATATTAATTGTAATTTGCTGGAGTTGAGGTGAGGGCTGAGGAGATTGCCCTTATTTATTGGCAAAAGGCTGCAGCTTATGGACAGGCTATTTTTTTGAAAATTGTCAGTATGTTTCTTCTCAATCAGTATCACTGCCTAATTCTGATCAGGTAACCTTAAGCAAGTTTAATCAGGTTGATGATTTTGTGATTCTGTAACCTTTCTTCTGGTGTAGCCTTGATTCTGCCTGCTTAGTTTTCTTCATTCTGGTCTGATATGAAAGCAGAACAATTGCTTCGTCTAAATCATTATTGTTTTCAGCTATTTTTGTCCCAGCATTTTGAATCCATGATTCTAGTAGTGCAATGTTTAAAGCCACGCTAATTGATTCCAATATGTCAATTCTTTTCCTGCAGCAACAAGGGCCAAATGCTAAAAATGGAGAGCCTGATCGTGCATCAGGTTCAAGCGGAGAGTATACGAAAAGGCAGCCCAAAGAACCTGATCAGTTAAGTTCATTTAGTAGGTGCTTCTTTGTCCCAGCAGTCACATGAGCATGCGAGTTGGAAGAAAGGCCAGGTCAACCACTCCCATCATCCTTTGAGAATGGACATGGAAGATGGAAACCTTTCCGGACCCCACATAAACAATCAAATTCTTAAGTTGTTACCTACATGTAAATACTAGGTTGAGACAAGATTTTAAGATATAATTTATATTATCTTGTGTTTAATATTTATCAAATAAATAAGAATGATGAAATTCAAACTCTTGATCGCTTGATCATCAAGGTTCTGATATCATGTTAAAGAACTATCTCAATCCAATGACTTAAGCTATTAGATAAATTTTCTAGATATAATTTATATTATTCTTTAACAATAAATCCAAAAATACATGGAGAAATGCACACCAAGTTAAGTTTGAGGTGAGTATGGAAGCATCGGTTGCTGCTGAATGCAATGGCAGGAAACTTGCAATTACATGACCAATGTAAGAAATTAAGACCATGACGACTTCTAATTTCTGCACAAGATATATCAGTAAGATTGCAAATTCCTTGCGCATGTTCTGATTTTAGTTAAAATCTATGATAAAATAAGGCGGTGGATTTTCTTGCAACTTAGATTAATTTAAGCCCTTGCTCAGGTCTACTGCATCAAGGGCAGTTGTTCTGGACTTGTTAAATGGCTATGCGTTGCAATTGCGAACACATGTAATAAACACTCAGGGCTCGGGGCTTTATGCCAGCTATCTTGTGATCACTTGTATGCCTTACCAACCTGCTAACTCTGTTGGGAGATCAGATTCTCGTACTTAGAATAGTAGATACGTAAATATTAGTTTTTTTTATTGTAATTATGTTTTCTACTTAGAATAGATCTGCAGAGTTTTATCTTTTCTATTTTAAACAACTTATAGCATAGCAATCACTTTGTATAAATATATGATATAGTGTTAGTAATAATATCGCTGCATTGAATTCAATCTCATCTTTATTTATTCACAAACTCAGCACAAATTTTATAGCAGTGCTGTTAAAATTGTCCTCTGACGAACCATGCAACTAAGGTCACTGTCTGCTCCCATCGGGACATATATATCAGTGCAACCGAAAGTCCAAAGTTAAAAGGCCAAGGAATCAACATGGTCCTGGTGTTGATTCTAGCTAGACATAACATTCCCTGTTGTTCAACTTGTCCTGAATTAAGAAATGAGAGTGCTGATGCAGCACCGGAGAAATGGACAATAATTATGTCTCGATTCAAGACCCATAATCTTGAACATGAGGGCATCTAGCTGTAGCATGGATATTATAGCGGCCGCTGGTATAATCTCGGCAACCATTGAGCAATGTGCATGCCCATTATCTCATTCTATCCTGGCAGATAAATTTAGGCTCGGCCGAATAAGGCTAAACACAGCTGAGACGCCAAATCTCAAAGTGTTAAACCACATGATTAGTTGATTATGGCTATGTTGGGGCCATTTCGGTGACTTTACAGGGCCAAGCTGGAGAGGTTGGTTTGCACTCCCTCCTCATTAAGGCGAAGTTTGATCAGTACGTCTGGCATTTAAGTCTCAGAAGTCTTTACAAGAATGTCACAGTCCATTATTACGTACGGTTCAAATTTCAAAACCATTGAAAAAAATCCCCATAGATTGATTAACCTCAGTATGAATATCCCATGTTTGATAAAATAATAATAATTTTAGTTAAAGATATCATAATTTGATGTACCCGGTCTGCCTCACCATGTTGACCTAGAAATTATTATATTCAAAACTAATATCAAGAGGAAAAAATAAACAAAACATTATAATTTTAATAAAAAAATATTCGATCCGATAGATTAAGGGTGTAACTAATAATCGGGTCTCGCAACTATAAAACATTGAAAGTTTATCTTAACATCATAGAATATCAGGTTAGGTGAAAATTAAGAAGAAAAAAAACTAAGACGCGGAGCCGATTAGGTTGACAAGTCCACGCCTAGCAAGGACGGCCCAACCGAAGTGATATAAAGGACAGTGAGAGGCAAAGACTTGTTGGTGTTTGGTGGGTCTGCTATCTAACCTTTTATTTTAGAGGCTCCCGAACCGCCCCACGTGTCCTATCCACACAAAGGATTAGTGGTCACCGGCCACTCTCCTGGTTTAAGGGCCTGATTAGTTTTATCTCCAAATGTTTTTAAGCCTACTGGTTAAGCTTAAGGGGATCTAGTTACCGTTAATTAGAAGAGACTTGTCATCTTCCTCGAATCCAAGTTTCTATTAAAAAATTATTTACTGAGATAGAGCTCCAATATGTTTGTTTTTTTTACCAATTTAATCCCTAGCTTCTGTTTGTATATTCTAAAAAGAAATACGTCAATATATATATTTTTAAATTCTTGTATTTAAAAAAATAAAATTAGTAATAAATGTTAATATTTTTAACGACTGCTAGCATCCTCCTACCTTTAAGTTTTCTTAATTCTTTCTTGGGCCGACGTTGTACACTAGAAAATGCTTCTTGAAAAGGAAAAGGAAACGTGCCGTATATGAGCCACACTCTCGCAAAGCAGAAAAGCCACTCAGATGATCCCATTCTCTCACATATTTAAAAGCTAAGAACCCAAGAAGCAGAGAAAGCAGCAAAGGGAGACTAACCTAGAGCAGACCTTCACTTTAGCTCGTGTGTGATTCACGAGATACACACACAAAAACAAAGCCAAAGAACTCACAGGAAAGGAAGAAGAGAAAGGAAAAGGGTTGAGAGAATTAATGGAGAAGAGTAAGGGTAGCAGTAGCGGTAGCACAAGCACAGAAAAGATAAAGACAAGTGGGGGAAATGGACAGGTTTTAGACGGTTCAGATATAATGGAGTTGGTTGGGAATGAAGAGGTGTTTAGCAGTTTTGTGGATCATAAGTTCCAAGAGCTGGATAGGGATAGAGATGGTAAGCTCTCTCTGAAAGAACTTGAACCTGCCGTTGCTGATATTGGCGCTGCCCTAGGCTTGCCTGCTCAGGGTTCATCTCCTGATTCTGATCATATCTACACCGAGGTTAGTAATATTTCATCGCTCTCTTTACTTTGATTCCTTGTTTTCGTCCTTTTCCCCCTCTCTTCAACGAGGTCTCGTTCTTCGAATATAGACAAAAGTTAATCAATCATAGGTTTTATTTTTTTTTTCCTTTTCTTATTAATCAAATTAAGGACACAATTAATCCTAGCTGCCACCATCTAGCTGCATTAACATGGTTCAAGAATCAATCTAGATATACCCTCAAAAAAAAAAAAAAAACATTTTCACTGCGCTTTGAAAACCTAATTCTACCTTGAGTTTTATAGCCTTTTGCTGGCTATAAAATTAAGTTATTCATTCAATTTATTTTCTCTTTAAAAGATCTCAATTTTAAATTTATACATGTATATATAAAGAAATATTCTAGAAATAACCAGAATTTTGTATTTTTCTAGCTTGAAGCCACTGTAGGAGATGGGTGTGTTACGTTTGATTTGACTTTATACATCCCTTCATTACGTCTTAAGTTGTATTTTTAATTGCACTAGAACTCCTTTAACTTCAACAATAACCTAAAAATGTCTCATTGCTTTCATCATTCTTTCGTAAGTTTTAATTAAGTTAATTGCTCCCAAACTTTTTCCGGATTCGTTGTTTAGAACACTGATGATCTAATAAACTTTCAAGTTTTAACAGCGAAATTACTAAATTCTCCATCTTTAGCCTCCCTCGAGAAACACCTAAACTGTTTTTCGGTTTAAGTCGGTGTTGTGGGTTAGCTTTTCAGTTCGCCTTTAGTACTTTCCCCCCTTACTTCTATCATTTTTTTTCTTTTTCTTTTAGATTAATGTAGGTGTTCGGATCAACTTGCGCGCACCACGACTATGACTTCTATCATTTTTTTTTTAGATTAATATGGGTATTCGAGTCAACTTGTGCGCACTACAACTAATTTCACAGATTCTAAAATTATTCTTTTCCCTTTTCTTGTTATCATTACATGTTGGAGAGGAATCTGCAGATGAATGTTGTGCAAACTACATGAACATTTTCCTTTCTTTAGTGTGTATTAGATTGATTTCTATGAGTAATAAAAAGATGATTTGTTAGTTAAATGATTTCATAATACTTCCAAACTTGAGGATAATTAAGTAAAGCAAAACTTATTAGGGTTGGTGTATATAATATTAATAATTAGAAGATAAAAATTATATACAAGGAAATTTCTTTGCTTGATTGAAGGGTGGAAACAGTGCAAATACCCCGTGAAAAAATCGAGAGTTGAAATACTGTCAATTGAAAAAAAAAATGATATTTATATTGTGTGTTTGATATATATTGTAGTGCAGAATAATTTTACATGAAAATACTATAGAAGAATTTTTTTTATTTTTGTTTATGTTTTACAATAATACATTAAAATTATTAAAAATTAAAAATATGTTAATTTAATATTTATTCAAAATAAAATATATTTTTTTAAAACATTCAAAACCAGAGATTACCGTACTCCAACCAAGTTCTTAGCTAATTAACGAATTTAGAAATACATATTATTATTTTTTGAGTTTTTTATATGTGACCTCGTATGATTTTTTTGTTTGCCGGCCTGCTTGGATTTAAAAAGGCAGTGCTTTAGTGTGGACAAGACCAAAAATAGGAATGTATAACCAACTGCTCCTAGCATCGTAATTAATTAATTAATTTGTGGAACTAACAGCTCCATTGATGAAATCATGAATGTAGGCTCCATATCATATTTTAAACTGTGATTGAGTGCATGAAAAATGTGGGAGCAGTAAAGTATCATCTCAAGCCCACAAGAACATGTAGAATTGTCTAGCTAGGACCACCAACGCAATAAATTGTGATTTGTCTCTTTCTAAGAATCCGAAAGGGTTTGAGAAGTCAGGAGTAGGGAAAAACTCATAATAATGTTGCATCAAATACCATGCTTGTTACAGCTAGCAATTTCTTCATAAAACTATAAAACTCCTGTAATAATAATAATTATTATTATTAATTCATCTCTCTTTCTCTCTATCCATAGTTTTATAAATGCACGTTATTGTAGGTTCTAAATGAATTCACACATGGCAAGCAAGAGAGAGTGAGCAAGACTGAGTTCAAAGAAGTTCTATCAGATTTTCTTCTAGGCATGGCTTCTGGTTTGAAGCGAGACCCTATAGTGATCCTCCGTATTGATGGAGAAGACCTCTTAGAGTTCATCAATGGACCAGATTATGAAGCAGAAATGGTGCACTTGTTTTCACAGTTAGAATCACCTGATGGATCACTCCATGACCACATTGTCAAAGTTTTGGAACAGCTTACAGTAGATCAAGGGATGCCCCCGTCTTCAGATTCTTGGGTAAGTAATGGAATTTTATACCATGAAATTAATTCAATGTTGTAACATTAGTTACTATGGGGTTTCAGTACAAATTGTCGGAGTTATTTTCTCATGTTCGTAGGTAATGAGCAACATTGTGGAACCAGCTTTACAATCTTGTAGTGGTCAAGATCATGACAAGCCGCTTTCTCAAGAGACATTCCTGGCGGAGTTCAGGAAAGTGGCAGAGAGTGTAGCTCAACATCTCAGAGAGCAGCCGGTGATTGTTGCACACTGTGAAAACACCTTTGATGGAAGTGGAATTAGGAGACTGTTATCCAACAAATTTGAATTAGACAAGGTTTGGATCTTACTACATAACCTCTCCTTTTTTCCATCATACTAATCAGCATTAATTTCATATTTTATTGAGAAAGATTATCATAATTACTGTTTAAGTTCTACAATTCCTTATGGGCTTGGCAGACACTAAACACAGCAACGGAGAATGCCCCAAGGGATCGCAATGGGAAAATATCTAAGGAGTATTTGCGTGTGGCACTAGATGCGGTCGCTCCGTCAGCTGGCCTGCCTCCAATCGGTGCGATCCAAGAGGTAGCGAAAAGCCAGACATTAATATATAATTCACAATTAAGTTTTGCTACTCTCGTCTCAAATAAGATTAAAATGTCAATTACTTTGAACTTCAATGTTTCAGATGGACGAGGTTATAGGCGAAGGGTTTAAGATGATGAATGCAGATGATGGGAAACTGGTTAAAGAGGATGAGTTTAAGAAGATGTTGACTGAAATCATGGGAAGCATAATGTTGCAGTTAGAGAGCAACCCCGTCTCGATTTCTTCAAATTCTGTTGTCCATGAGCCCCTCGCTTCCTCCCCTACACTTTTGCAGCCATCTCCCTAGTTACAAAAATAGAATCACAAAATCTTAAGTTCTGGTTTTAAGCATGTCGAGGAAAATATATTTATAATAAAAATGAAATAACAAGTCGAATAAATGTTTGTTCAATTAGGGCTAAGTCGATCAGTAGTTGGCTTCTTGTGCTAGCCACTTGAGTGTGCATATAATAGAATAGAGAGTCATCGCGTCGAGCAATATTTCAACGATAATCCTTCCCTACTTGGTGTTCTTTGTTCTTCCTTGATGTAGTAACCTATCTTGCTAATCCTTTATATTGGCAGTCTTGTTCATGATCTAGGATTTTGATTGTGGTGGCTGCAGGGTGTTATGATCCAAGTCATATACAGTTTTAAGTGTAAATTTATGTTGATTTTAAGCAATCTAGTGGTTTATAACATGTCCACTACAAACTATATATATATATATAGACTACATGATATAGCACTTTGAAGCCATGCAAGCAGTTAGCTAAGCCTGATCAATGATTTGTATGAGTTAAGGACGACGACTCTACATCTTGATGATGATCATATTATTACAATTCCATTCAGATACAAACTTAGACAGAACTTAATTTCCCAAACTGAACATAACCATCCTCTTCCATATCCTTGAGGTGTTATTGAAAATAGTTTTAGTCTATTTTATTGTGTGGGAAAGCTGAGGTGGAATTAGCTTTGTGTAGAGAGCAAAAACCACACAAGCAATACCAGGCCCAACCCAGAATACCCAATGACCATCCCAAAGATGGCCCCCTCTAACGATTGCTGGCCCTAAACACCTTGCTGGGTTCAGCCCAGCTCCAGCATAGCCTTTCGTAGCCGTGACAGTGGTTGAAATGTAAACAAGAAGACCCACGACTATTCCGATGATGATAAAAACATTAACTCGGCCTAAAGCCTTCGCTTGGCGTTGATCGAAGGCCATCCACACTGAAGCAAAAAGAAACACAAACCCACAAATTATCTCCAGCCAAAGGGCCTGGCTTGTCTCTAGGCCGATCACAGTCTGCCCATCTGGCCCTGGAGCAACAATGGTGAGGGTACAGCCTCCAAGTGAAAAGGTTTTTTGAATTTCGCTGTTCACCACAGCTTTTAGTGCTAGGGCACCAAAAATGCCACCAACACATTGAGCCAAAACATAGATGATAGCTCTTGACAGAGAAACAAGGCCAGTTAGCAAGGCAGCGAAGGTTACAAGAGGATTAATGTGGCCACCAGAAATGGGAAAGGTAGCTAGTACGAGAATTGTGATAATGATGGCAGCAAGAATTGATAATATGAGGTTTGGTATTTTTGTCTCGATCCGCATAGTTGAAATAACGATGGTGTCCAAAGTAAAAACAAGAACAGCTGTGCCTATGAGCTCTGCCACTGATGCTCTCCATACCTGAGCAGACACAACCCCTGCATGGTAAATAAATTTGCTGGCCTACAAACGTAACATGTTGCCTATACATATCAACAACAAAGTCTCGGTGCCTACTGATGTTGTGCTTCTAAAATCAACAGTAATAGTGGCTGGTTTCAAGGTTGTGAACGACAATTTAAGTACTTGTTTCAAGGTTGTGAATGACAATTTAAGTACTAATTACCGTCAAAGAAACAAGGTCTTCCAAGCCCAATATCTCGCTCAATATAGTGGATTTTTGCTTCTTCATCCCCTTTTCGTTTTCGACTACCTCTGCCCTGCAAAATTATATGGACAAAAAAAAGGCTTATAATTAATTATAGTTAGTTTCTAGCAATAATACAGCATGATCTTATAAATTAGAAAGGAGAAAAGCATGATATGTCATAGTAATAATAATAAAGTTTTGGTACGTTGGTGTAGTGGCAAAACGATGTATTTTATTAGCCCCAAAGAGGTTTTCTTCATCACCCTCTGTATATCCAGCCATCTTTTCCTTCTGTCTATAGCCAGAAACCTTGTTAATCAAGGCGACAAGGGAGTTTAAATAATTTATTCTATCACTTGATTTCAAGTTTTATTTCAATTTGCTGTGGATTGGTTTTGTTGTCATTACAGATGACCAGTAATTAATTTTGATAAAGTCACAATTGCTTTCACCTTGTCACGTCTAAATTAAGATCCATTATGCCATTACAACTTCCTAATCTTGAACTACAATTACTACTATATCATATTAAACCACATTTCCCAATTGGATTGATATTTGTTCATCTGATTTGTCAAAATTAATCACTTCTGTTTTCACCCACTACTTACAGTTCACAAGCGCATATGTTGTATATATCTATACAGATCCAAGCATGACCGTGATCCCTCAAGTCTTGGGATCATGATCTTGTTCCATATAATTATACTTCCTATAAACATGATTTCTCCCTTTGACGGAACTATTTGGAAATATTCTGATTCCAGCACTCTCATTTCTTTGATTTTTATTTTGACAAATCTGATAGCAATCACAATTATATAAACAGATACTATATCGTGTTAGATAAATGGGGTCCTGAAGCATCTGATTATATCCACGTGGTATGAATATTATAGGTCAAGGGAAAGTGTTTTTAATTGTCTTTAAGAAGTTGATTTAGAATAGTGGATCTTACTGTAGATTTCACAACGAAACATATTAAGATCTTACAGCTAGCTATATGGAATTGACACCAAATTAACAATTAATTAGAATTTTAACCATCTTTAATGAACAACTTTCACTCTCCATTTATTAAAATAGCACTTGCAATCAACTGAAAGAAGAAATTATTTTAAAACCCGATTGCTGGCTTGTAGACTTTGATTAACCTGGTTTCTGGCTATATATTTAGAGTGCAAAAGAGGGAAGAATATTGGTAATAGAAGAATAAGATGGGTGGATACACACACACACACATATACGAGAGCTTTTGAAGATGAAGAAAGCCTCAGTGGTAACAAAACCCAGCCTTATGCCACTACACCACTGTAAGTTCAGAACTTCATGTTATCATAAATTGTAGAAACAGAAGATGTTAAGAAAGGATTTGAGCGTGGACGGTTTAAACCGGAAATCAAAAGTAAATCTCGAAGTCTTAACTTAAGTGTCAATTTGATAATATCGTGCAGAATACTTTTTGAAAAAAAATTTTGAATGAAAATAAATTAAAATAATATTTTTAATATATAGTTTTTATATCATGACATTAAAATTATTAAAAAATATCTAAAAATATTTATTTATATAAAAAATAGTTTCAAAAACATTATAAAAATCAGATTATACTGCATTTCTAGAATCACTCAGAAAAAAGAATAAACTTATGCATCAAACTTCAGATTCCTAACCGTTTAATCTGAAATTTTGATTGGATATCATAACCATGGAGCATAATTGTTTAATTTTTAAAAATTATTTTTTTTATCATGGACAAAATCGTTTTCATATTACTAAAACATAGTTTTCTAACTAATACCAAGTTCGGTTCAAATATCAATTCAATAAGAACATAAAAATATTGATGATGTTCTAAAAAATTTAAATAATTTAGTAAAATAGTTTTTAGATTAGATAATTAATTGTTCCTAATAATCTTATTCATTTTTCTCAATTAAAATAGTTAATAGCATGTACTTAGTACATAATAAGTTAAAATAGTTTGTAACTAGTACTTATAAAAAGTGTTTTTTGATGGAGATGAAAACTCTACGATAATAACATTAATAACTTTATAAAAAAAGAAAATACAATAATATTTT